CTGCCTGGGTGGGGGTGCAAAAGCATTGCATGGGGGGGTGGGACGGTAAAGGAGGGGTCCCTGCCTTATTCGGGGGGGTTCTGCCTGCGCTGCCCCGGAGGTTTGTAGGAACTGGGGAGGGGGTCGTCGCCAGGACTCCCCCATCCCTCCCTTGCCCTGTCCCTTCTCAGGGCAGAAAGAGGTGGCAGCAGCAAAAGTGAAAGAAAATTCACTTTGCAGCCTTCATTCCCTCCCCCCCAACTTTGAAATCCAAAATCCCCCAAGAGGGAAGAGGTGGGGAGGAGGGAGGACACCCCCTGAGGGTGCCACACTGAGGGCAGGAGGAAGCACACTTTGCAACCAGCGGAGAGTCTTCCCCGGACATCCCTCTTTGCCTTGCCTGGGTGCTGTCACCCGCTTGCCCTTGGCCGGAGGCTCCCATTAGCCCTCCCTGGCAGTGGGGTGGGTAAACTGGGCAGCCCATGGGTGACCTGTATGACCCCCACAGGTGGGACCAAGCCTCCTGACCCCACAACTCACCCACTTTCCCCCACATCCCACCTAGATGGAAATGGCACCGCTGCCCCCACGGACACGGGACCCCAGGCAGGTCCTGCCCGCACCCCCCCCTCCATCCCCCCAGCCTGTGGTGGAGGACGACTTCCAGTTCATCCTCTGCGAGGGCTGCCGGCAGGAATCGCCCAACCTCAAGCTCCTCACCTGCCTGCACACCTTGTGTCTTGATTGTCTGAGTGAGAACAAACCTGTAGGGCAGTGTCCTGTGTGCCGGATGGCCATCCCACAGGCTAGCGGCATCCCCAACACCGACAACCTGCTCTTCACCAACCTCCAAGCCAAGCTGCACATCTATAAAAAAATCAGCAAGGGCAGGGGGCTGAGCTGCAGCCGGTGTCAGCGGGAAGCGGCAGCGGTGTGGTGCTCCGAATGCGAGGACTTCCTTTGTACCAAGTGCTTTGAGGACCACCAGTGGTTCTTCAAGAAGAGAAGCCACGAGGCCAGGAGGGTGGAGGATCTTCGCACTGAGTCAGCGCATCGCTTCTTGGAAGACACCAGAAGATCCTGCAACCTCTTCTGCTCCAGTCCTGGTCACGCCGACCAGGGTCACATCTCCAGGTGAGACTTGGTGCCATGTCCCCAGGTCCCATCCTGTGCCAAGGGATTTGGGGCTCTGGCACCAGGACCAATTGTGCCAACTTCTGATGTTGCAAACTTCTACATGTTCAGGAAATTCCGTGGGATTATTTTACATAAACATAAGATTTCCTGTAACTCATTCATATATGCAAATGTCCTTTCGCTCATGCGCAGAGGTTTCTTCTGGGGGTCTTTGATGGTCCAGGGAGGAAGTAAGAACTCTTCATCACTTTGCCTGCTAGTTGATCTTTCTTCTAGTTCTGCGCAGTGGTGTTCCTTTTTCTCAATTAATTTTCTTGTCTTCGTACTCTGAGGTTGGCTAGTTTCTTGATTCATGCTTGCAGATGTACTTCCTCACCTGATAGTTCTGCTCCTAAACTATTATAGTTACGGTTAAACATTTCTGTTCTAAGACACCTTATGACCTTCCATCTATTACCTAGCTACACAACATTCCAGGGTTAATTAAAAATTTTACAATAATTTAGCAGCTTTCCTTCGTAGGTGGTACGGGGCAGGTGACACAGGCTGGCAGGTCCCCAGGAGGAGAGAGGGAAGCAAAATTGGGTTAAACACCCAGCTTCATGCCTGCTTCTGCAGCTTTCCTGCCCTGTGCCTCAGCTTCCCCTCTCGTTAAACTCGTCTTGAGGAGGGGGAGTTGTACCCAGCAGAGTGGAAATGCTTTTCTCCCCTTGCTCCCCTTTGAAGGATGCTGCCGTTTCCTTCCAGCATCTACTGCACCAAGTGCGAGAAGGC